AGTATGTAATAAATCACTGCTCACAATCCCAGGGCTGCTCTTTCTGCCCACGGGTCCTGTGTCTGTGCTGTAATAAAAACGCCTCTTTTTTTGGCACCAGGAACGTCTCAAGAATTCTTTCTTGACAAACGCCGCACAGGCCCTGTGCTGGTGAGAACACACCTCCTGCTACCCGCTTATCCGCACACCCAAGGAATGGCCTAACGGCACGCACAGCGGCTGGATACACAAGAGTGGAGACAGAATAAGCATCGGTTCATCGTCTGCTCATTATGCAGATAATGGAATACAAGACGCTGCTCTCAAAGTCAGGTTCTTGGCACACCTGGGTGGCTCGAAGGTTCAGCATCTGACTCTGGGTTTCAGCTCGGCCGTGGTCTCATGGGTTGTGGCTTTGACTCCTGCATTGGGCAGTGCTCGACATCTCTCTCTCTCAAAATAAATAATTAAACTTAAAAAAAAAAAAAAGCCAGGCTCTTCAGGTACTAGTGTGGAATGATATCCAAGATGTTGTACGAGAAAGACTCCAGGTAGTGGCTGGAGTGAGGGGCGGGCCAACCCTGCGAGCGAGGGAAAAGGGGGTGGGGGGGAGATGCTGCGCCCGTGTGGGCCCCCTGCCCCCTGGAGGCTTCCTGAGGGATGTGGGTTGTCTTTGAGGACAGACTGGAGGCTGCGGAGGAGGGGAGTTTTCATTAACCACCTATCCCTCACCCAGTGGCTGGAAGTGTTCTGGAAAACCACGCTGTTAGGTGAAAAGCCATTACAATCAAAAAGATTTTTATTGTTTTCAATGAAACATCCTGGCCCAAGGCCGCAGTTTTCACAGTGGAAACATTTGACTAAATACTGAAACAGTTTTAGACAAGTAGCAACTGGCAGTTTGAAAATTAAAAAAAAAAATGTCAAGGCGCCTGGGTGGCTCAGCGGGTTGAGCGGAGGGCGTTTGATGGGGGCCCAGGTCAGGATCTCACATTTCATGAGTCTGAGCCCCCAGTAGGCTCTGAGCTGACAGCCCGGAGCCTGCTTAGGATTCTCTGTCTCCTTCTCTCTCTGCCCCTCCTCTGCTCGATCTCTCTCTCTCTCAAAATAAATAAACTCAACAAAAGAAATTAAAGAAATGCGGTTTTATGTACAAATATGATGGGACGAAGGCTCATCTTACTTTTGGAGGACAAGGCTTGCAGAGGTCACCGGTGGGAAGAGCCGCGGGGGCCCTTCTGGGGGATTTGCATCTCTTCTACACCTTCTTCATTTTTCAACCTTCGTGGGTCTTGTCGTTATTTTGTCCATAAATGCCACCTAAAAATAAAGTTATTTGCAGAAAAGCACCTTTGGGGCGAAGGAAGGGAGGGAGAGAGGGAGAGAGAGAGAGAGAGAGAGAGAAAGAGAGAAAGAGGGAAAGAAAGAGAGAAAGAAAGAAAGAAAGAAAGAAAGAGAGAGAGAGAGAGAGAGAGAGAGAGGAGAGAGAGAGAGAGAGAGAAGAAAGAACGAACCAAGGCGACAGCGCCCCCTTGCGGCAGACACGTGCCCGGCCGGGTCAGCCACCCACCTGCACCCTCCCGACTGGCACCAGGCTGGGGGATCCCCTGGGTGGGGTCAGCGTGCGGGAGCCTTCGCCTCAGCACGTGCCGGGTCAGAGCAAAGGTTTTGTTTTCGCGTATTTTCAAGCTTGGAAAAACAAGCGCACATTCGTTTCCAGGGAAACGTCCCTGCGACGGCGAGAGAGGAGCCGCGGCTTCCCGGCGGGTGCGGCCCCTGGAAAGCGCGGGGGCGACGGGCAGGGACCCCGGTCCCCTCGGCCCCCAGGGGGACGGCGACCCCGCTTCCACCGCGTCAGGGCCGGAGGTCCGGGGGTGTGGGTGCGTGGGGCCCTTTCCGGGGTGCGCATCTGGGGACGCAGTTCCCGACTCCAGCGTGAAGCCACAGGGTCGGGAGCGCGGGGTCTCGGGGTCTGCACCCTCCCCGAGCCCTGGCGGCGGGGGGGCCGGGCGCCCCGGCACCGTGCGGACCCCCGCCGCTTTCCGCGCGCTCCCGTGGGGCGAGCGGAGCACGAGTCTGCAGGGTCCCCGGACCCCCTGGAACACCCCGCCCTGCCGCTCGGGGCGCAGGGGGCGCAGGGGTGCTTTCCGTTCGTGCGATCAGTTCTAGCGCGTGCGAAGGCCGTGACGGGCTGTCAGGCGGCGCGGCGTGGGCGCCCCGGACGCGGGGACCCCCGGGGCGCGCCCAGGCCGCCCTCCGGACCCCCGGGGCGCGCCCAGGCCGCCCTCCGCCGGCCGTTCGCACGGGTCCCCGCCCCTGCCCGGAACGGTCTCCCAGCCGCTCCGAGCGTCTTTAGGGCACGAGTGGATCGTGCGCGTCTGCTAGCAGAGTGGCAAGAGCAGGCTACACTTCGTCTCTGCGTCTTGGACCCGGCCCGGCGGGATCACCGGCCGTGTGGACAGGCGAATTCACAGGGAGGACCCCCGAGTGGGTGTCTGAGGGTGTGTTCCAGCGCCACCTCGAGCTGAAGACACGCAGTAGCAGAACGCAAACCCGCGCGCGCGCCCTTGGTCGCGGGGTCCACCCTGCGCAGAGCGGGGCCCCGGGGAAGCCCCCCTGGTCTGCGCGGTCAGCGCGGGTCACTGGTGACAATACGCTGCTGCCCCAAACACCCTGCTGCAGTCTCCGGAAAAGCAGAGCTGCAGCGGGTGTAACGTTCGCTCTTGGTTTGACGACTGACGTTCCGGCCTTCGGTGTACGGAGGGTGGAGGAACTCAACCGTGTGTGTCCCGCCCTAAGGGGTGGCTCGGGAGGGGCCCGGGTCATGGGAACAAAGACATCAGTTTCGCGGCTTTCCTTTCCTTTTCCGTTCTTTTCTCTCTTTCTTTCTCTTTTCTTTATTTTTGAGGCGGAACACGAGCGGGGGAGGGGCGGGGAGAGAGGGAGACACGGACTCGGAAGCAGCTCCAGGCCGCGAGCCGGCAGCGCAGAGCCCGACGCGGGGCTCGAACCCACGGGCCGCGCGGTCACGACCGGAGCCGCGGTCGGGCGCTCAGCCGACGGAGCCCCCCAGGCGCCTTCACATGAGGTTTTTTCTGACCTAAACTCAAGACTCAGTGACCCCGTGTAGGATGAGCCGAGTCCGTTCTTGCGCCCGGAGCAGTGCGAGGGGGGCACAGGCTGAACCTGGGAGGTGACCCACTGGCCACGGGGCCCCACTTCCCATGGGGTCGCTCCCAAGGCCAGGGGGCCCTGTCCGCTTAGCCCGTGTGCGGAGAGAGACAGGAAAGTGACCCTGTCGCCTGTCTGCCCGACGCCGAATTACTAAGCAATTCGGAGCAGAAGGACTCATCGTTCCATCAAACGGCTGCTAACACGAAACCCTGGTGTCACACAGCTGAGCCCCGTTTATAACTAAAGGAACGCGGGGAACGGAGCTCCTCGTGCCCCGGGTCGGCGCTTCTGAGGGCGCTTGCACGCCAGCTGTGCTCAGATGCCGAAAGACCGGACGTTGGGGAGGGAAAACCAGGAAACACCCCTGTTATTTATATTTTTTTCCAGGTCAAATTCAAACGTCCCTCATTGCGGGCCACCTGAGAACGCTAGCGTCAGGGCAACCGCACGGTTTCCAGAGCGTTCGCGTTCAAAGCGTCTGACCAGCATCCGTGGAGATAAAAGATGGGCCCAAATTTCTGGGACACCGACGTGCCGGGTCATTTTCTCCCTGGGGAGCCGGTCAGCAACTCGGGGCCGCCTGGAATCAGGTCCGAGACCGGCCCCAGGCCGCCGCCGCCGCCGCACGCTGGAAGAATCGGAAACAGAATTCCGGTTTTCAGAGACAGGAAAGTAGGGATTTGTAGCCTTTTCTCCCGTGACACAGGTCACAGCCCAAGAAACAGCGCAGACTGCAAACAGGTGCACCTACCTTCTTCCGTCCTGCGACCTGCCCGTGGCCGTTATTTCCCGTCACGTGATCTCGGTGCCCTACTAGGAGAGTCATGGACAACAACGCAAAAATAACTAAGTGATAATTCAGTGACTGACACCCACTCCCCGTGTGCTGGAACGCCAGGGACAGCGGCCGGGGTTGTGCACTGTGCAACCCGCATGTCTCTCCACGGAAGGCCTCGCAGAGACCAGTTGCGTTTTCTGCGCCCCAGGCTTTGGTAAAGTGTTAAAGTGCAGGGGTACTTTGATGTTTCTCGAGTCCTGCGAAGTGTTTTATTTTAAGAAGTGGAGCAAGCCAGGGGCGCCCGGGTGGCTTAGTCGGTTAAGCGTCCGACTTTCGCTCAGGTCATGATCTCGCGGTGGG